AGAGATAATGATCCAATTTCTTAAGGGCCATCAAAGGGATTCTCTATCTGGTTTTTCATGGCCTTTGGAATGTGGACGCTCTTCGAGGATACTGAATGTGCTTAAGCTGTAGATGAATAGAAAATTCTATCCAAATGTGTGTTACATGCTTTACGTTACACATTAAGCAGCCGTTCACATAGAACTCATTCTAGCATTTTTATATATAAATGAGATACGGCTTGAATTGTAGAAATAGCACCTCCTCTTACATGTGGCCAAAAAATGACATTTTATACCTCCCTCTCCCAAGCAAGAGTCATACACATCAAGAAATTTTATTAGAGAAATAAGAGTCATCTGAATGGTGTTACACAGATGAAGGCTGAATTCATAATAGTTTTCTATAAAAAGTTTAATTCTATACTGTATATATGGTGTGGGTCATCCTCCTTAATGTATTTTGCCATGTTGAAATGACGTGACCTGCAGTGTATCACTAAACGATAGAATCTACAGGCTCATTGGCTGCCATCTCTGTAGATACACTATGCATTGTTGATTAGTGATGTGATGTGCGAAATTTAGACAATGGAACACACTTGTCATGCTTTACAAGCATACCTGTCAAAATTTGGGTACCAAAATACAGGAGACGGGTTGGTGGGGAATTATGGGGGATGCTGAATGGCAGAGGCAGGCTAAATACACATTAATTGCGCAGATATTAACATAATATTCAATAAAAATAAACATGAATAAGACTTCTTTTTTATTTATTTTATCGATTGCAAAAATTAACTAGATTAATCACACATTCTTTTCTGATTAATCGCCATTAAAAAAACCTTACGTTTTTAATATATTTTATAATGTAATAATTCCATCTCCAAATTAATGTAGAAACAACATAAAGACAGTATATTTTAAATATTTGTCTACCAGGTAGGAAATAAACAGAAATTGAATAAAGTTATCCATCAGTTTGCATTGCATACATTTTAAATTATATATAGATTAATCCTTATTAAAGTTACAAAAGTTCTTTAGTCAAGAGCAGTGAGTGTTTTTCTGTTACCTTTGTTCTTTGACTTTACTGACAAAAAGCTTTATTGGCTGATGTCCCTTTAAAACCAGCCGCTGCTGACAGAGACAAGGACCTCACACACGCCTCATTCTATCACAACTCTTTGAGTCTTCTCCTCCCATTTCTACCAGTTTATTCAACTTCCCGCATCTACTACCTGCGCAGATATCGACTGCGCAACTGGGTTGTAGGTTGCCAGGTTGAGCTCACAAATGGGTTGAAATGTGTATGATGTGTAGATTGTGTAAGTAGGGTGCTTTCATACAAGATCTGGCAATTGGACAACCTTGGAATAATATATTGATGTGATTATTCATACAACGAGGTTTGAGCCATACAAATTACAGGAGTTTCACGGGAGAAATAACAAAACGGGAGGGGGGCGGGAGATGGGTGTGAAATACGGGAATGTTGAGAGCCATGTTTACAAGCAGAGACATTGGGTGAATCATTACAGCCAAAGAATCAGAAAAGGTCTAAAGAAAAACTTAAACAAGAAATCAGCGTAAACATCGGTATAGTCACAGATGTTCATATAGTGCACGTTTACACAGAAAAACTACTGAAAGCAGTGCAGTGAAGGACATAAATGCCACTAAAAGCAGCACAATGTGACAGACAAAGAAAACAAAATTACAAACATCAGATGCTTGCCACCTATTACCTACATAAGGAAACAGAAGTTTGTGCAGTTTTTGCACGTGTAATTTGTGGTCAGGTCATAGCAAGTATACAATCTCTTTTGCATGGTACAAGACAAGAAGAGGTGTGCTATTTGGGTGAAGAATGTGTTCCACCATCATGGGAGTGTAGAGTTTCTGTGAAGGAGATTCCATACCGTGCTGTGATGTTGCCACCAGGCATAACACTTTTTGACTGACTGAAGGGAATAAGAAGAATCATACATTTTGTAGAGTTTTTAGGTAAGAGCGTGCAGAACGGTAGGTGGTTCTATATGCTACCTTCTGAGCCTAAAATATAATGCTGACAACCAAGAGGGCTGTGACATGGCTTCTCTTAGGCTGATAGAAGACCAAACGTGCTGCTGCATTCTGGATCACCTGTAAGCTAGTAAAGCATTGCAGTAGTACATAAATCGTGCATGTGACTGGATAACAAAATTTAAAAAGATGTGCGCCAAATCAAACTTGAGCAAATTCATCACATCTAGCCTAGTTTCCCAAAACAGGATTTGCAAACCCCTAGAGGTTCATTAGTTTATGAAAAGCTGATAAAGAATTAAATCATAAAAATGTAAATTAAATTATTTCAAAATAAAAGCAAAATAAATCTAAATAAAACACTTACTAACAAAATATTACATATTTTGTTTCCCTGCATGGCATGTAAACATTAACTAACATCAGAGCTGTGAACATGAAAATGTGTTATTAAATTATTTAAATATTAAATTAAAATATCAGTGTACTTAAAGTAAATATTCTAAATCAAAAGCGTTTGGCTGACAAAAAGTTTGGGAATCTCTGATCTATCCAAATAAGGCAACATGAACAGGTTGTGTGACAAACAAAACAATGCAAAATAAATAAACAACAAGAACTCAGACTACATTAAATATGGGCTCACTTTCACGGAGGGTAAACTTGAGCAGTGAATTACTAGCTGCCGAAAACAAGAAACCATCAAAATTCAAGAAGCATCAAACACTCAAACAACACAGACAAGTCTATATCATGATAATACCTTGAGGTTTGCTATTGAGTTGGATCGCTATGTGATGTTTAATAAAACAGAGTTGAGAAACACCAGTGTGGAATCACCGGTCTTTTTAGTGTATAGTCAGTGTGAAGCAATTCTGCCCTCATGTGGCAATCAAAAACTCAGCCAACCAGCTGAAGAAGAAAAAAACAATAACAAAATTCCACAGTGAGAGAAGATAACTCTGTACATATGTGCAATCTAAAAAAAAAAGCTGGAAGGAGAGGGAAAGGTAGAAAACAAAATCATGCAATAACAATGCAATGTTTTCCCTCCGAAGTTAAAAAGCTTCTAGCTCCGTTTTATTTGAGGGTTTTGCATCTCTTTTCACAGAAGAGCTGGATCTGAACACTTGAATCACTTGCGTCTGATTTGCAAATGAACAAAAGAAAGGCAGAAGCAGAGCCATATAATGATTTATTTTAGAAGCAGGAAACATTGATTGAACGCTGGTGGCAAAGAAACCAATACCACAGTGGCCGGCCTACTCATACTCTGAAATAGATTGTTAGAGTCTTTGACATTCTATCTTGTAGTTTTAGTGAGTGGCTCTGAGTGGATCGTGATTCACCAAGCACCAAGGCGAAAACACATTGAAAATGCAATGGAAGGATAATATCAGACGCTTTGCCTTGTTGGCATATCACTTGCCTGAGGAAATGTGTTATTATTATTATGCCACTGTCGTCGGTGGGCCAGCACACTACAGGTGGCATTATTGTGGCACAACTCACGAAATTGGAAGTGCCCCCACTCTGCCAAGAATATGAAACTGTAATTGGAACAAAACAGACTCACAAAACCATAAACAGCACTGCCTGTGGCACTCCATCTTGTGTGGCGGCCGATAAGAAGGTGCATTTTTCCAAGAGATGAGCTGAGTTGAGAATATCCAGGGAAAGACAGTGAGTAACAGCCCTGCTTTGCTTTACACTCTATTGACTGTGAGTGAAGGTGGTCGACGTTGACCTACCGCCACTCCCAATCCTTATTAATCTCCAACAAGAAGCAGGAAGAATCCTGTGTGCACCAGAAATGAGAAACTGCAACTCTGCTGAACAGAAATGCTATCCGGGGTCTAATCTATCATGTGGAGTAGTCATGACTCGTATATGCACATTGCACATCCAGTAGCTGAAGATAAACAGACCCTTTCCTCTTACAGATATTCGTGTTTTGATGCAAATGGAACATATGCTGAGAGAAACTATTCCCCCAAAACATTTAGGTTAGATGAGTTACATTGTACTTTGCAAGTTGTAATATCCTCTAACTGCCTTTTGGAAATTAAAGTCCCATTTAACCGTTCACAAGCCAGTGAAGATGTTAGCACTGCAAACTCTAGGTCATAAAAGCTATTATAGTCTGCATTCAGAGTACACGAAAATTGGATTTCATACTATTCAGCTAAACAATCACTCCAAGGTGATCCCTTTTCAAGCTGCCATAATTCTGCCCATATAATTCCCTTCGGCACAAGCACACACCTACTAGCCATAGTTTGTTATGCCATCCCTTAAACTGTAGAGGAAATACTGCCTTCAGGGACAGGGATGAAGCATGCAGCTCATCTCTTAAGCACATTTAACGGCTCGTTACCCCACCGCTCGTTTCAGGCAACACGACACTCCTTGGTCAGGTGCCATTCTCTAATGTGCTGGAAATGAGCCATGAGCCTCAACAGTCCTTAGACAGTGAGTATGGCGTGCTCAAGGGGCCATTTTGGTTCCGAAAGGCGCGCAGTAGTGCTTAAACAGGAAAAGAGTCAAAACGTATACATTTGCGATTAACAACGCCCCGTTTAGTACTGCTAAAACATGTAAAGATAACATAAAGGGAATTAATTGTACATTAAACATGGGTCTTCAATTGTGTCAAATGAAATACTAAATTAATAAATTGCATTTCCGATTTACTTTGAAAAGGCTTCTGCCAGCCAAGGCTATTTGCCACTAAGATGAAAAGAACAAAAAAAAACTCGTTCCAGGAAAAGTGAAACTTTCATGGTTCACCTCTAGTGTAGAGAGGTACAGAAAGGTTTGGACCACAGGTATTTGAGGAAAGCTAGCTCTGATGGAGGTGAAGAAAAATCGTTTGGGTACATTAAGAAACATTTAATAGCAACGATTTACAGTAAAAAAAGACAAATATAACTTTGAAATAGCTTGAAATGCATATAATATCTGAACTGTAATAAATACCTCAATGAAGCCAATATAACAATTCTTTTGACATCTGTGTGTACAAGGCAGAATAACCTATACAGCAGAATCAAGGGGTTGCTGGTCATCATGTGACGTCATCATAAGAAACAACCGTTTAGAAAGCTCTGGACCAACTCTGCGAGTTGTAGATGTCACACCCTCTCCGCGACGAATGAGTACATCTGACAGCAGACCAACTTTTTCATGCTCCGATTTGCACCGTGCATATGCCTAAAGTAATAAATATACATACACACTAAATCTCAAACATAAAATGATTTACAAAAAATGTGCCATTTCTTAGCAGATAATGGGTTGGATCTATGTTGTCAAGACACTTCAGAATTAAAAACAGATTTAACCTGAGCAAGGAGCCGAGGAGACGGGTAGGCACTGAGTACAGCACTGGCCATATCAGGGCTGACACGGTTCAACTGCTGTATTTGTCTATTCCAAACTTGCAGAAGGCCATTCCCTGTGCGGTCCACCTTCTGACCCCCTGCCCACTCACTCTCCAAACAAAATGTGAACCCCGTCTTCTCTCGCTCCCGCCTGGGAAGAATAAACATACACAAAAGTAAGAAATAAACAGCAGTAGCTAAAGATACAGCTAGTTGGAAAGCGATAAATTTGGAAACAGTGTCTTCCCACTCACTTGAACGGAGCCTCGGCTACTGCTTTGGTTGACATGGTAATATAATCAGTGAAGTCCTTCCAGGTAGAGAGGAAGCGAACCTGCACACCAGTTTGCAGCTGCAAGTCTACCAAAGTCTGATAGACAGGTGAGAGAAGAAAGACTGATTTGAAGCAGAGGACCTCAAATACACCCATGAATTTATATTGACTGCCAAAGAGGTGGTTCAGCTTACCTCCTCAACCTGCACTCGCGAGACCTCTGGAAGCTGATTGATATCGTCTCTCTTTCTTCGCTTTTTCTGCCCTCCCTGAAGTCCCACATTCTTTTCCTCGCCTAGCACTGCCTCACGGAATTTCTTCTGACATTTTGAATTCTGGGATCTGCAAAAGAGCATTTTTAATGCTAAATTAAGCAATTATAAACGTCATTAGTTTGTCAAAATAAATCATAACATGCATGTACTAATGCAAATTTTTGTTTTATGATTTGTTTGTCTTTAAAGTCATTACTGGTTAATTCTTGGGTAAAAAGCACCATAAACATCTAAACATTGAAAAAATGTCCAGGTTAAATACAACTGACACTCTCAGTACGTCACTCACCTGAAGTACTTATCTATGTCAATCACGACCAGACTGAGGGTTCTGCCTGGGTTCCTGCTCATAAGTCCTTGGATCCAGGTGGTCAGAGATATGCCGCTTTCGGTTAATACACTGTTGCTTTGCCTCTATGTTAAAAAGAGAAAAGCACCACAAAGGAGAGAAAGTGTTTACCATTAATTTCCTAGACTCTGGGGACCTGCCATAGTCTAATCTGTTCTGCCACAGCTTCATAATGAACTAAAAATATTTAAAAACTTCTCTTAATAACATAAAAGGTCTCAATCGTTTTTTTGCAGCAAACGAACTAAAGCCCTCAAACGAACTAAAATCAAAAGCGCAATATGGCTTTGTGCCCTAATCAAATCGCAAAAAAACTATAGTCTACTAAAAAGTATATAGTCTGTTTGCACTGTATTTCAAAGCAAAGTGTGCACACTTGATCGAGTGTTTTCTGCTTTTCAGTATGGTTCACTTCACAAGTAGGGGTGTAACGGTACATGTATTCGTATTGAACCGAAACGGTACGGGCGTCGCGGTTCGGTGCATGAATTTACACGGCGAATACACGGTATAAAAATAAATAAAACTCGCGTGCAAATTAATTAATGTAATGCGGAACTACTGTTAAAAACGCAGGTTATTTAGGGACACATAATCTGTAGCCCCGCCTATGTGCAGTTTTTTGTCAGGTCGACGCATAAGGTCGACGACGGTCCAGTGAGTGAGTCAGAGATAGCAGCACTAAGGACGAGTGGTGGCGACCCACAAGAGTTAGAGGACCTGCCGGCCTCTTTAAATTCGCAAGTTTGGGAAAACATTGGTTTTCCCAGTCTCTCTCTCTCTCTCTCTCTCTCTCTCTCTCTCTCTCTCTCTCTTTTTCTCTGGTTAATGCATAAAAAATGATTACAGCGCTACTTTATTTCACTTCAGAATTCTAGATCTGAGCTGTAGATAAACAGGAGGGGAAAAAATCAGAACTATATATATTTTCCATTTGACCAGCAAAACATTCATGAGTCATGATGACAGCTGTTATCTTATCTATTTATCCAACCCATTAAAAACAGTCTGTGGGTGCCATCTTTTGGACATTTATCATATTGCATTGGTTTTCATTTCATGTCCTCAAACAGAGCACTAATCTGTTTATTTTTAAGTTACACATTCTACATTGATTAAAAAATAAAATCAAATGTGTTTTTTAATGGTAGTATTATTGTATACAGTAATAAATTATTTATTTATAATTATTTATATTATTTATAAATCAGATGAGAATAAAGTTAGTGTTAATTAAAATTTTAAGGAAAACAAATATATTAATCTGAAATATAGCAAATTAATTTTAAATTCATTCAGGTACAATTACCAAACATATCTCAAGGTATTTGTGTCTTTTTATTCATTTAATTAATAAACTAATTATATAAAAATATTGTCAATGCACTAAACTGGTTCTATGCCTTTACTTTATTAATAAAACTTATTTAAAAAATACAAGGTTTAAGACATTTATTTTCCTTTAATCCAGCCCCCCCACACCCACACACAGAGAGAGAGAGAGAGAGAAAATGCTCCAATAATAATACGTCAATTACATGAATTACTCAAATGTAGTAATACACTAGGTGGTACAGCCTGAGACATGCATAATAAAAAATAAACTGCATTTTTGTTTTGCTTTTCCCTCCGTTGTACCGAACTCGTACCGAACCGTGATGTCTGAACCGAGGAATAAACCGAAGCGTGACTTCTGTGTACCGTTACACCCCTATTCACAAGGAATGGCCCTGTCCCAAATGGCACCCTAAACACTCACTGTCTTCTAGGGCTGGTCCGAATACCATTTTTTGAGCTTCGAAGCTTCGGTAGTATTGAACATCGAATATTCGAAGCTTCGGAATCTCTATAGCCTATGTCTGTCTGTCCGTTTGCATTTTGATTATTTCGAGAACCGTTCATCCAAACGACTTCACAACACAAGGGAGTGCAGTGTCGTATTTGGTGCAATATAGATAGACAGCCGAGACGCAACACGTTCAGAGTTAATACACTTTTAATAAACTACAGAACAGCGAGAGTGGGAAGCGGCGCGCCTCAAGCAAGCAGAGCTATGCTCCGAGAACGGACACTCCACTAGTAATATAAAACACACACACACACACACACACACACACACACACAGGTCTGTTAACTTAAGCAATATTTTTAATAAGGTAGTCTAATATTTTTATCACTAACAAATAACTGACAAAGTAGGGTAGATTTAAATAAAGAAGTGGCGCGCCTCACGCGAGAAGGGCTTATATGCTCCGAGAATGGACACTGCACGCACTAGTGATATAAAACACACAAACACGGTCAGTCATATCTTAAACCAACAGGACAAACCACATCTTATATTTCAAAAGGGATCTGTGCATTAGTGTGAATGCAGCTTATCGTATCTAAACTGAGAAGACAAATCACTCACAGCTCTTGAATGGAAAACATTCAGACAGCCTACTTTTAAATACTGAAAGCACTCTTTGTTTATTGTTTGTAATGTTTTTTTTTGTTCCTCTTTATTTACTAGCTTTTATATTCTGAAGCTATATTCGTTTATATAGCCTATTTAAAATTCTTAACATGTTTTTTTAATAATTATTTTTAATTACACAATTAATTACACAAATAATGTTTTTAACTGTTATTAATATTATTAATTACGAAAAAAAAGTAGATCATGAGGTGCCTAAAGATTCTACTATACAATGATTTATTGCTTGTCTTTGTCGAATAATACAGAAGATAATATAAAGAACTTAAAAAGTAATCGTATATTAAATTGCAATCGCAATATTGGTTAAAAAAATCGCAATTAGATTATTTTCCAAAATCATTCAGCCCTACTTCCTACAACACAGGTGTGAATGTAATGTAGACTGAGACACTATATCACAACTAAAAAGAGGGTTAAGTCTCTTTTTCTTTGTTCAGTTTGCACACTGAACATGACTCGGAACTCTTAATTTTGAACTCTCAAAGTACACCAGATTGATGAATTTAACTTTAAAACGTACAAAAAATGTTCTTCTGGTGGGACATGTCCCCGGACCCAAGAGGAAATGAGGTTCACCCCCCCATAGTCTCACAAAATCCTGTGGGAAAAACTATGCTGTCAAAATTCTGGGCCATGCATTTTTCAAAGATTAAGAAACTGGACACTTTAAAAGACCTTCTGGATCATTTTTACATAATTGAGAGATGATCCCGTAATTGTATTCATTACTCTTAATTGCTCTGACTCTTCTCGAAAAGGTCATAACTGCTGGTTTTTCTGCTGCCCTTTCGGCCACAAAGCTCTTTTAATTTCATCTTTAGTTGCCACATCATACAAAAAACGGGAAATCCAGCATATCAAATAATTATTCTATTAATGGTTAATTATGTAATTATAAAGGTCCAATAGGAAATCGCACCATGCCATTACCGTGCCGCCGAGCATAATGTGCCTACCTTGCAGTAGTTGTTAATCATGGTCACAAAGTCATCCACTGGAACTTGGATTACAGCATGTGAGTCTGGAATGGACATAATCTCACCAGTCTGCAAACAAAACAATTAAACTATGAAACCAAGTGTAAAATGATTTAGATCAGTGGTCCTCAACCTTTTTGACTCCAATGCCCCCCACCCCTTTGTTTGAGACACTCAAAATCCTTCCCGTCTAAGCTTCTAAACGGTATAACTCTAACACTTCTAATGTGATAAAACAAAATCTAAAAAATATGACATCAGTTTCATGCTGTTTAATTAAGATTACAATATGTTAATAAAACTTTTTATATACATTTAAATAATGTATCCCTAGAAGTTTGCCAAGGTCCCCTAGTGGGAACCGGCCCCCAGGTTGACAACCAATGGTTTAGCTGTTCCTAATTTCTGCCCAAATTTGAGATGCCACAGAGATGTTTAAGAATCTTCTTTATCTACAAACGTTAGATAAACATCTTATAATGCCATATTCATGAATTTAAAATGTTAAATGTCAGACATTGAGAATCTGTATTCATGACATTCAACAGGAAATCCTTGGGTGACATTGATTCTTCGGTATTTACATCATCCAAACAAAAATGAATGCAAAAAAAATGAATGCATTTAATTGTTCATAGGCTACTCAATCCCCGTTTTTACATTTCAGCCGTTTACACCTGGTATTAAGATGAGTTTTGGTCGATCGGATCACATGTAGACGAGGGAGACACATTCCCGTTTACATCTGGTGTTTTAACCTGTCTTTTTTGTCCACTTTCAACCACTTCTGTCCTAATTTTTTTTAGGGTACGGTCTATGGGCAGGTAAATGTATGGACTTTTTCTCATCTTTCGATCTAATGGACAAAATAAGCTCACGCAATTTACATGTGAACGTGACCGGAGAAAACAGAAAAACACACGGAGATCATCAGCTTTCGTTTCTGCTCTAAAAGCCACAAGACCAGCCGAACGCTGCATGTTAGAAATCAGGAATGGTGAGAGAACATGGTTCTTGGTAAGTTTTTCATCTTCAAACCAAACTTGTGTCTTCAGCCTACAAAGTTTAAATCCCATCTGGCTAGCGCAGCGTGCTTCCCATAATGTTCACGCTTTAAGTCCGTAGGTGTAGAGTAGGTAGCCTGGGTGCCAGCCGAACTTAGCCCCGCCCACAACTTTGAGGATGGGAAGTTCGGTCTGGACTTGATCCGTTGTGAAGCAAGTATGCCCGAACCAAAGCTGTTCGGACCAATCAAATTCTCAAGGCGGGCTTTATACGATGATGGACAGATGATCAACCGTAACGTAATTATCCACTTCACCAAAGAGCGCTTGGGATGAATTTGTTTACAACAAAGAATGGCTGCCGCTGGAGAATTTAGATGTGTAGATTCAGCCATCGCGTCTGTTATAGAAGACGTAGACAGCGCATTCATTTTAAAAGAGGAACAGAGAACCGCGATCAAGGCATTTGTCGATCCAATCATGTCCAGAGGCATTTTCTTTCCTGGTTCGGTTGAAACACGCCCCATAATCACAGCCCAATGGAGCAGTATCAGACTCACATTCTGACTAGAATCTGAGTATGACGACGTCAGGCTAGAGAGTAGGTGGTCTTTGGGGCTGTTCGAACACATTCGACCACATTACCACACACTACAAAAGCAATCCGGTCGAATACGTTTTTAACTACCTGGATGTGGTCAAAAGTGGACAAGCTCAAAACGTTTTAGAGCCCGTTTACACCTGTTTAGCGTTGTCCACTTGTGATCTGCTGATCGACCAAGACGCATCTTAATACCAGGTGTAAACAGGGCCTTAGATTACCTTTGCCATTTTATAACACCAACTTAAAGTTATACTTTAAAAACACTAAAAGAAAACACTGTTAAATGTCATCTTTAAAAATGTAATGCTTGATGATGGTCATGAGATATTGGGCGGGATTTCCTTTTGTTTTTTAGATTTTTTACTTTTTTTGGTCTTCTCTCCTACACACCTATCTATAATCTGCAGTGTGCGATGGTAATTGTTAATTGATTCATTTTAATATTCAGCCATGATGACATGAAAATAATTAAATAATTATCACTTTCATCACTGTCTGCACCTCAAAGCCAATGACAAGGAATATGGGCAAAAGTTGCATTTGTATGTATAGAGGGCAGTCGTGCCTGAGGGCAGGGTGAGCGTCTAGCCCAGGTGACACTACGAGGAAGAGACTGCTTCTCTATGGCACAGTTGCAGCCCATTGCGTGCAGGGAAGTCAGGAGAGCACCGCCACCTTCCAGCTGCAGCAGGCCTATGAGAGAAAGACAGCTAATCAATACTAATCCATTTAGCAAATGCAGCTTAATACCTCATGCCAGTGCTTTTTAACAACTCGGATAAAGTACCAAAGCGCAACGAACACTGAAAGAAACTATTACAGCAGAGATGAGCACTGCCACCTACCTGGGTCGACCGTCACCACCATGTGTTTGATGCACTCCTCTGGCCTCAGGGCTTTCACAGCATCAGCCAGAGCTTTCTTCTCCATTCTCAATCTCTCCTTCTCTTCCTGCTGATGCTCTCGCGTTGCTCTTTTCCTCAGGGCTTCCTGTCTGGCAGCCTCCACTTCTGCTGGGGTTTTCTTGCGTTTGGCCAGGTAAGGGCCATTCTCTGCTTCAGGTGAAGGTTCTTTTGTGAGGTATGGTGCAGCGTTGTTTGAGCTACACTGCCTTGTTATATTTCTACAGATCTTGTTATGTTCAACTGGGTGGGCCTCGGGGTTGATATGATGTGCTGGAACATCTAAGAAGTGTGAATATCCATTAGGATCCACATTGAAAGCCTGAGTCTCCTCTGCAGCGGTGGCTACTGTACCCAGACCACGTTGTTTCTGTTTCAGTCTCACAGCTAAGGGAATGACGGCCTCCTCCTCCTCGCTGTCACTACTGACCATCAACACGTCACATCTAGCAGGTCCAGTGGAGGAGCGGACCTCTAAAGCTGAAATTGGATCAGCAACATGAGCCATTTCTGAGTCTAAACTGTTTAAAACCACCAAGTTGGCCTGTCTGGATTTTGACTGTGAGAAATCAAACACAGGCAGCTCTTCTGAATCACTGGAGTCGCTGTCACTTAGGAGGAATCCAGGTCTACTGATGCAGGTCATGCTGAGCTGTTATACGAAGATCTGCAGTCTGAAGGAAAGCTCAAATTAAAATACAATACAGATTAAGTTTAGATCTGTACTTGCCCTGCTGATATTTCTTCCCTCCACAAAATAAGTAAATAATAAATAAGTGTGTGTGTAGTTTTATATTTATTTTATTTGAATTCATGTAAACATGTAACACTGTATAAAATATATTTTCTTTTTAGCAACATATTTAATTTGTAACATTTCTTTTTATTTCACAAACTGTTTATATTACTCAGTCAATAACCTTCAAGTTTTCTTTAAAAACAATTGTTTTAAAAATATATATATATATATATAGGCTATATATATACACACACACACACATATATATATATATATATATATATATATATATATATATATATATATATATATCGTTATACAGTTGAAACTCGAAAAATTAGAATATCGTGTTGGCATATTTAAATCGGAAGAATATAACCATTTTTATATCACAGACAATCGAAAAGATCAGTTGCTATAACTGTTAACTTAGTTGCTACAGACGTTAATACTATAGCCTTGTAACGTTACTACTGTAAAATCATACTATATTAATTAGGGATTTCATTCAAACGGTGTCAGAATATGGCGTTTTGTTTTATCTCGTTACATAGATGGATTGGATGATATCAAGCTAGCTAAATTAACGTTACACAGTTTAAACATTGTACAAACACTGTAGTAAATACGGTGTTTTGATAAGAAAATATGGTTACTTTACCAAAAAAAATACATTCATATTTTGTTGAAACAAGACCAACCAAAGTGAGGATTTCGCAATATTCAGTCACAACCACGAACAGAACCTGCGCGTGGACTCCAGACAACTAACGTTAACGTTATTATTTACATTCGCACACACTAACAGAAAACCTCATACTCTTCTATTGTAGCTGTAAATATGCAATATTCACAAACTTTTTATTTTTCTCTCTACTCACGCCAGCCAAACTCTCCAGTTCGCAGCTTCGCGGGTTCTTCTGAAGGATCACGGGAGCGCGCCCGCTGCGTCACATCACGTCATTCAAGATGGCGGCGCTCGCGTCCTTGATGCTACAATCCAGAGCCTGTGAGTAGAATGACAGTTTTTCGGGGTTTTTTTTCCTTTTCGAATTGTATCACGTATAATGCAAGTCATGTGTGAATAATAGTTGCTGATTTGGAGTAATGGTGCACTTTATCGTTTAACGTTTTGTAATGACTGCGAGTTGGTAGTAGCTGCTAGCCTGTTATAAGCCACCATTTCCTAACAGCACAGTGAGCATGTCTGAAATGTTGACAGCAGCTTCAACAGAGCATAAACTGACTGATTCGTCTTGTGTTTTGTTCATGGCAATGCAGAGCGTTAAGGATAAGGTTGATTTAACACATCAAATTGATGGTTATGACGTGAAGAAAAGTTTCAACATCATCCATGCAGATAATGATGATTTCTGTTGATTTTTTAATTAATCTTTGCAGGCATTCTGTTCAGTCAAACACCCACAGTTGTACTGACGAGATTTGCTTCAAAGAAGTCAGGAGGAAGCAGCAAAAACCTTGGAGGGAAGAGTGGTGGCCGCAGATACGGTTTCAAGAAACAAGATGGTACTTTTTAACTATTGAACTTGATATGATATGAGAAACACAGAGATTTTGTGTGCGGTTTTTACTGTAGCTATGGTTTATCTTGCATAATAGCACATGTTTTGTCTTTACTTTTTTTAAGGGAACTTTGTACATGCTGGCAACATCCTCGCAACACAACGCAAGGGTCTAATGCGCTGGCAACCTGGAGCTCATGTAAAGTATCTTCCTATGAATTGCTGTTATATAGCTATAGCTGTGTCTGATCATGCAAAGTTATGATGTGTTTTATTTGTTGTAATTGTATACAATTTATTAATGACAATTTCTGTTTACCAAAACAAACGTTTTATATTTTTGTACATTACCTTTTTTGATATTTTATTATTTTGTGCATCACAACTGTTTTACTTTTAAAATTGAGCTCAAACCCAACATTTTTAATTCTGTCATTAATTACTCGCCCTCGTGTCGTTCCAAACCCGTAAGACCTTCGTTCATCATCTACAGTAGTTCAACCCTCTACGCACACCTTGGCAATAGAATCGCCATTGGCTAGTCAATTTTTTGGGTTACTCGCCAGACTGAGATATATATATTTCCACCAAATCAGCTTATTGTAAAATGGCACAGCTTTTTAAATATCTAAATGTACACTCTTAAAATCAGTCAATCAAGCATTATATTATGATAATCAAGCATTAGCCTATTTAATGATAGAACTTTAGTAATTAAAACTAAAACTTGATAATCATGCATGAATGCATATTTGTCATTTTAACTGAACTTAGAACTGGTGGTGGTGCTTAAGATATTGTTGGTCATTCAGTGTTTCTGTAAAAAAAAAAAAAGATAATAGTAATTGATAATAGTAATTATTATTAAAAGATAATCCTACTACTAATAATGACAATAAACAAAAATAGTATAGGCCTACAACACATAAGCTGCTGGGTTCATGAATGTTAATCACCTTGTCAGCGTTCGTTTGCTCTGATTTTCTGAAATTAAAACTGGGATGAGAGCAATCCAATAAGATTGCCGTTTGCGCATTAGTTCCGCCCACTACCGGAGAAACCGCCATATCTTCTGCTTGTTCTTAAAAGCTGAATAATTCCAGATGAACTCAGTTATTTTGACAGGAAAATACTAACAAGAATATCGTTTACATGTAGCGCGTCGATTTTGCGTGGTATGTAAGACTCTCGCTCGCTCTCTCTCTCTTTGTGTGTGTGAGAAACGCGACAGCGAGTCATGCGCCTTCACACTAGAGTTTACGGTACGTCAAATACAGGTACGCTGAGCTGAATTTGAAATATTAAACAGATCGCTTGACGGAGAGCGAAACTCTCAAGCGCTCAGTCAGTGTTCAGTGAGTGAAAATATATCTATGCTAAACTTATACTTGGCATCTAACTAACACACACACACTGGTGAGTAAAATCTAAGAATGTATTAGCCAATGGCTGATGATTGACATTGTTTAGTCGCCCAGAGTGAAATTTACTCGCATATGCGAGTGATTTACTCGCATTGTAGAGTGTTGGTAGGTCAACCTTAATGTTATGAAGTGATGAGAATACCTTTTGTGCGCAAAAAACCCCTAAAATAACGACTTTACGTCAACAGTGTATGATAATGAGATGCAGTGCAGCGCTTCTGGGTTGTACGTCAGAACGTAGGCTCACTATTGGCTGACGCTGGTCATGTCTGTGATGCATGTGATGCTGGCCAATAGCGAGCCTACGTTCTGACGTACAACCCAGAAGCGCTGCACTGTTTACACTACGTCAACAGCGTAGGAGAATGGCATGGAAGAGAAGAGATTGTTGAATAAAGTTGTTATTTTAGGGGGTTTTTTGCACACAAAAAATATTCTCATCGCTTCATAACATTAAGGTTGAACTACTGTAGTCACATGGACTATTTTAACAATGTTTTTCCCACCTTTCTGGGCCTTGAAAGTTGCAATGACGTTGCTGTCAATGAAGGGACAGAAAGCTCTCCGATTTCATCAAAAATATCTTAATTTGTGTTCTGAAGATTAACGAAGGTCTTACGGGTTTGGAACGACATGAGGGCGAGTAATTAATGACAGAATTAAAATTTTTGGGTAAACTAACCCTTTAAGTACCTACAAATGTACCTTTTTTTTTTTTTTTTTTTTAAAGCAGCATATAGCATATTTTCTGATGCTTAGTCGCTTAGATTAATTTTTGAAAATGATTTTATATTTTATTCTATGTTTTGTTATAATGTGTTATTTTAACATTTCTTGATACAGTAGGGTCCAAAAGTCTGAGATCACTAGTAAAACTATTTAGCTTTTTTCTAATTAAATAAAAAGCACAATTTGTTCATTACAAATTATATTATCAGTATGACAAATTTGATAACTACATAATTCTGCTTTGTTTTTAAATTTCTTAAAATTCTAAAACTTTATTACCATACAATTATGTAAAACTGGAAATTGCCTGCATTTCCCTTATCTGAAATTAATCTCTCGTTGTCTGTCCTCACAGGTTGGTATTGGAACCAACAAAACAATTTATGCCCTAGAGGACGGTATTGTCAGATTCACCAAGGAGGTGTATATTCCTCTACCACGAAGTGCCGAAGCCAGGGATGTGATCCCAAAACTTCCAAAGGGTGCCGTACTGTACAAGACCTTTATTAATGTCATTCCTACAAAACAGGAGAATGCATTTACTCTAGTGGACATGGTATAAAAAAGACTTTCCTCAACTTCAGTTTGGTCTGGATTTTTTGGACTGGTAACCCACCCTGAAATATTTTGATACTCTTCACTCAAATGTGTCTGAAAATTAAGCTGGAAAATATTTAATTTCTTTTTATTTGTACAGTTACTGTATGTTCTACTCTAATAAACATGTTTACTTAACACCATATGACTTTATTATGTTCAATACCCTGCACTTCATATGTTAAAATACAAATTCATTTATATTACAATCTAGAAATATTTGTTCTCTTTAATAAAATCAGCATTTGTTAAAAGCTACTGGAAACAATGTTAAACATACACGTAGATAACACAAACGATGCGTTAGGGACTGCGTTTACAGATTTATTAAACTCCTTTGGGGTCAAGCAGAATGTCAGTGGTCCCACTCATCGTCTAAATCATACACTAGATTTAATTATATCATACGGAACCAATCCAACCGATATAGATATTATACCGCAAAGTGACGATCTCACCGATCATCACATGGTAACTTGTATAATACGCACTGCTGAAATTTGTCATGTTGCGCCACGTTATAGACCAGGCAGAACAATCATTCCGACCACTATAGATAGATTCTCAAATAGCTTACCTGATCTATCTCAGCTGCTCAGTGAACCCAAACAAACAGATGAACTAGAGGAAATGACTAGCAGTTTGAGCACCATTTTCTCTAGTACATTAGATATTGTTGCACCAATTAGATCAAAAAAGGTTAGAGAGAAAACTAAAGCACCATGGTACAACAGTGCTACGCATGCTATCAAGAGAGAAACTCGTAACCTAGAGCGTAAATGGAAACAAACTAATTTAGAGGTCTTTAGAATCGCGTGGAAAGACAGTATGTCACGTTATAAAAAAGCTCTAAAAGCAGCCAGGGCTGAGCATCTCCGCAAACTAATAGAAAATCACCAAAATAATCCAAGGTTTTTATTTAACACCGTGGCTAGACTAACAAATAAACAGACATCACCCGAGCAAATTATTCCGTTACAGTATAGCTGTAATGTTTTTATGAACTACTTCAATGAGAAAATAGAAAGCATCCGAAACACAATTGTAAATGTACAATCCTCTATGGTGTCTTATGATTCAGCCTCAATTATCGCCCCTCAAGAACAACTACACCGCTTTACAACTATAGGACAGGAAGAGCTAAATAAACTTATCATTGCATCTAAACCAACAACATGTTTATTAGATCCAATACCAACTAAATTTCTGAAAGAAGTGTCACCTGTAGTGGAAGAGCCTCTTCTTAATATTATTAACTCGTCTTTATCTTTAGGTCATGTTCCAAAAATATTCAAGCTGGCAGGCATAAAACCTCTCATTAAGAAACCGCAATTAGATCCAAATAACTTAGCAAATTACAGACCGATTTCAAATCTTCCATTTATGTCTAAAATACTAGAAAAGACTGTGTCCGCTCAATTGTGCTCTTTCATGCAAGAAAATGAGATATATGAAAAATTTCAGTCAGGATTCAGACCGCATCATAGCACAGAAACTGCGCTAGTTAAAATTACAAATGATTTACTTTTAGCTTCTGACCAAGGCTGTATCTCAATACTAGTTCTACTCGATCTTAGTGCTGCGTTTGACACTATCGATCATAAAATACTCTTGGATCGACTACAAAACTACACTGGTGTTCAGGGACAGGCATTAAGCTGGTTCAGATCGTATTTATCAGA